CTCTTGAGTCACAATGAGACCCCCCCCCCCAGAGGAAATGGTGGGCATTAAAATCACCAAGTAACAGAAGTGGTGGTGGTAAGGATGAAACTAGAAAGGCAAAATCTGGGATAGAAAATGCTCGAGAAGGAGAGAGATATAAAGAACATATTGTAAACCACTTAGTCAAGTGGATACGGGCTGCAGTGTAATGCAGCGAGGTATGGACAAATAGCTAACAGTACGGAATATCATTGCGTAGAAGAAGGGCACTTTCATTAAAGGTCCCATCTGAGAAAGGATCCGAAGAATACAATAAATTATAGCCTGAGATAGGTTAGAAAACATCTGAGTGTAATTTTGGTTCTTGTAAGCAAGCACCAACAGGGGAAAACCTGGAAAGCAACATCTGAAGCTCACCCCGATTACTCGAGGCCGCGGATATTCCACTGTAAATAGGCCATGATTGGCAATGAAGAAAATACCAGGAATCCGTAGGGAAGGGCACCTACGGACTAGAGGGGTTAGAAAAGTCAACGTGTGGTGGCATTTGGTGGCATTGGAAGACGTTCAAGTAGCGATGGAACGGAGCATTGCGAAGAATGGAGTTGTGGAGATGGAGGAGAGGGAGTAGGAGGTGGATCAGTGTCCATTGAAGGTTTAGTCTCTGCAATATATTCTGAAATGGCTTCAAGTGTTTCTGAATTCAAAGATGTATGGGAGACAATATTGGAGGTAGAAGGAGGAGGGTGAGTAAAGACTGGGACAGTAATGGACTGTGTGGGAGGGGACAGAAGAGGCAGAAACCTGGGAGGTGGCAGAAGAGGGGGAAACTTGGGAGGGGACGGGGGTGGAAGGTACAGTACGAGGAGGAGGGTGAACCTCCACACGTGTAATAGAGCCAGAGAGAGGGGAAGAACTAGACACAGACCGGAAAGGTAAAGTGCGGAGGTGGAAGAAGGGAAGGAAGGGGCAAAGAAGATTTGAGCAACGTGGATTTTTGGACTTCTGAGAAGTAGAGGGGCGATTGGTATAAGGTGTCGTACGAGGTCTTGTCGATACTGGAGCTTGTGAGGAAGGACGTGAAGATGTGAGAACAGACTGAGTTGTAGTCGGGACGTCAGAGCCAAGGACAGCAAAAGGATTAGATGCCAGAGTGGCTATGGGAGGGGTAACAACAGAGGAGGCTGCAGAAGATGGGACCCCAGAAGTGGGGGGATGTTTTGAAACACGAGAATAAGAAACATGGGGTAGTCTCCCTTGGAGGTGGAGATGAGTAACTGCCATAGCATAAGGGAGACCTTCTGCCTCTTTGAGGCAACGGATTTCACGTTCATTTAAGTAGACCTGGCAACGGCGGGAGTACGAAGGGTGAGCTTCATTACAATTAAGGCAAGATGGAGGTTGACTGCAAGATGTATTAGAATGGTCGTCGGCACCACAGACTGGGCATTCAGCTATAGATCTGCAATATTTTGCTGGGTGACCAAAACGCCAGCAATTTCTACACTGTTGCGGTGTAGGTATCACCTTTCGAACTTGTAACCAATGTCCCGCGACATATACAGAGGACGGGAGTTCTCGGCTGTCAAAAGTTAAACGAGCCACATTGCAAGGGTAACGTCTCCGCCCACGGGCAAGAAGGACATAAGTGTCTACTTTGAGGATTGGGAGATCCTGGAGTTCCAGCTGTTCAAGAATGTCATTGCCACATGACTGGAAATTCTGTTGGACTATGGTATGGGGCAGAATGACAGTACCACTACAAGAATTGAAAGACGTTTTTCAATAGTGATAGTAGTAGTATCGATATTCAAAAGGAGAAAGATCATGAGCTTGGGTAGCATTCTGGACAGTGACGATGCACGTACCACTCTTGAGAGCATGAAATGAAATATCTCTACCAACATGACGCAGGAGCGCTTTGCCAATACTATGGTCAGAAAGATAGGCAGAAGTTGGTCTTAAAGAATTTAGTCCATTGTGTGGTCTGAAACTGAGCGTGGAGAGGGAGTGCATGACGTGTCGGTCTTTTCCGAGTAGAATGGGAAGGTAACGAAGGAGCATCATCGGGAGATTGACGTTGGCGTTTAGGAGTAGGACCGGAGTTGGTCCGGCCTGAAATGGGCTGGCGATTCGAAAATTGCCGTACCGTAGAGGGAGAGGCCGGAAGCATAGTCAAAGGAGAGCGGAGGTCAGACAAATCGAAGGAGTCAGTCGACGCCCCGGTACCTGAAGCGGGTGAGGAAACAGCACCAGCAAGATGTACAGGGGCATCAGGAGTGTCCGAAGAGTGGTCTAAAAACAAGGCAGGGTCAGAATGGGGTGCGGTATCAAGAAGGGGCCCGGGGATAGTGGGTTCATGGATTGGGTTCTCCATGGTTAGGTTACTCCTTTGCTTTTTGTTTTTAAGAAAAAAAAAAAAAAAAAGAAAATAAAAATAAAAAAAAAAGAATAAAAAAAGGGCGGAGCAGGGAGGAATAGTTCCCAGGAGGAATGAAAGGGCCGGAAATCTCCCTCCGCGCCCAAGAGGACCTCAGCACCGCTAGTAGCGCAGATGCAGCATGGAACCCGTGCTATACCCTACCCTTCATGCCAGTAAACCAGCAATCCGGGATAGCAACCTCACATCTGCCGAGCTACCTCGGTGGATAAAAGAGAGGGTGGCCGGATATCCGCCACAAAGCATACCTCCTTTGGCCACCACCCCCGGAATCCGAAAGGTGGCTTCCAGAGATACACCCGTTGCCCGAAAGACACCCAAAGCTACTCCGGGATACCGGAGAGGGATCGGGACATCCCCAGGCGATCCAGATTCCACAGCAAACTACGCCACCGCCAAGAACCTCAACGGAATGGGATGGACCCCGGTATCCTTTCCCCTACCTAGGAACTAGCGCGCCTGTGGGAGAAATCCCAAAGGCCAAAAAGAGGAAGGTCAAAAGGGAGGGGTGGGGAGGAGGAGGAGGAAAGGAAAAAGGGGAGGATGGGATAGGGAGGGGGGGATTGGGAGGTAATTAGGTTCGGTCTGAGGAAGGAGACCGACAGGTCTGTTTCCTCAGACCAAGAGCCTCTTCACCACAACAAGGAGCCCCCCCTTGAAGAGGCCTTATAGGTAAGGCTTGGCAAGGAGTGACTTCCAGGATTTTGAATTCTGCTTGGAGAAAACTGTGGCCAGAATGTGTCCTCGACAAGGATTTTGAAGGGTTTGAGGCTGACCCTGACGACCCTAATCCTGTATTTGTATTGTCTTTGGGGAAGTCCCTGGGTTTGGAGGTGAGTGGCAAAGATGTGGAAGAGTTGGTGGAGGACCAAAGTGAAAAGCTAACCAATGAAAAGCTGCAAGACCTTCAAATAGAACAGCAAAAGACTGCAGCTGAGGAAATTGCTTCTGAGGTAGAGAGAGGGGAAAAGGTGCCTTCTTGTGATTAAGGACATTTGTGCAAAGTGGAATGAGGCACAGACTTTTGTTGAAAAATATCACCCTGACAAAGCTGATACAAGCCGTATCTGGAGTATGTTCAGTGACAATACCTTGTCTCATTTTAGGCAAATCTTTGAGATGCCAGAAACAGCTCTCTGAACAGATTTATAGTGCAACAGGGGTCCAGTGCCAGTAAAAGACAAATAAGGGAAGTAATCACAAAGAGGCTTTGATACCTTCAGTCCTTATGGAGGGGGATTCCCCTTCCAAACGACCTCAACTTTCTCTCCCCTCATCGCTTTCTTCAATACCCCAAAAGTGTCTTCAATAATGGTATGTAGTGTTCATTTATCATTAAAATTAGTGTTTTATTTTTATTTCTCATTGTTTTCTGCATGTAAAACTATAGTTATTCTTTAAAAAATGAATTCTTTGTGAATATTTTTGGGTGTCTGGAATGGATTAATTGGATTTACATTATTTCTTATGGGAAATATTACTTTGGTTTTCGTACGTTTCGTACGATTAAGTACAAAATCCAGGGTTCCACTGTATAATCAAAGGTTGGCTAACCGCAGCCTGAAGTCATTCATATTAGAAGTGTCTCGTGCTGCCGGTGCTTCATAACAAGAATGTGCAAGGAACATAAAACTATCTCCAATGTCTTCTCCAAACACTTCGTGTGCTTCAAGCATGGAAAGCAGTGTAAGCATTATATGATTAATAGAAATGCCTAATCCTGTGCACTGTTGTGTTGGCAAGCCTGATTACAGTACAAGGAATACACACCCATTACCACACTGGCCATTTCATGGAAACAAGCTGACATGCAAATACTGCAGCAGGAAAAGGAATGTTGTCAGAACAAACACTGCTAAATGTGGTAGGTGTATCAATGCATGAATAGCAGCAGGAATTACTTCATCGACTGCCACACCAATCCAAATGGATAAATTTCTTTTAACTTCACAGACATCACCCAACAAAGCAGGGTGACCTAATAATCACAATAATAATAATTATAATACCGTGAAATTTGTTGGTTATTCATTGCCTATGTTTATATGGTGTTTGCACGAAGTATAACTAAAATGTTATTTATTTATTTTGGGTAAAACGCAATATCAAAGACTGTAAAAAGTTCCTGTTGCTTATTTTTTATTGTAAATTTAAAATAAAATATATTTGTGTATTATTTAACCTTTTAAATTATTAATTTTACAGAAATGTTACCACCACTGCTGGGCAGGACACACTTTAGTAGCCCTTTACTTTTTGGATTTTGTGGACAAGTTATTGAAAAAAGTAATTAATTAGTCCTTAAAAAATGTTGCAGTACAATAAAACTTTATAAAATCAAAATTTCAACATCTTACCAATTCTGATGATTGCCTGATATTAAGATGCAATGTAGTTGCAATATAGGTATAATTTCTGCTGAAATGAACCCAAATCAGGTTCAAAGGTATTATAATACTAGAGATTAATGTTTCCAATTGCATGTTCATGCAATATTAGGAATAAACCCTAGTAGCCAAAATCAAAATTTTACAATATCTAAAGTATAAAATATTTAAAACAAGGGAAGTGAAAAACATTTTCTATTTATTTTCTTTAATAGTTCCTGTGGAAAAAAAAAAGGTGTTTAGTTCACATTATATTACATTTCTTGAGCATTACCAATAAAAAATTACTTCCCAAGTTAAATCTTACTACAGGTTGACCACCACTAATCCGGTATCATCACGACCTGTAGGGTGACACATTACAGTGGTTAGAATTTACTTAACCCAAAGGCGATATTTACACATCGGCGATTTCACCCACTTTACTCCCTATTTTTAGCCCATTCCATTGTTCCAGTCTACCAAACTCATAGCTATTCTGCCAACTGAGTATGTACAAGAAACCACCTATTTACCTATTTCAACTCAATAAAGTGGTCAGAAATCATTAAGTTGGCCAATTTCACACAAATTTCAAGAGATGCCAATTTCAAAATAGGAGCCAGAATAAATAATCAATTTTCCTCATTGAAATTAATTGAAATGCCATTAATCTGTTCCAGTCCCCAAAAAACAACCTCAGGGGCAGGAGAAAATACTTCAATGTAATGCTAATATCAACTCTAAGGCTTATTTATCTATCAGAATTGACCTAATATGACACAATAAACACTATAAACAACATAGAAACATGACATATACTCTAGAATGAATAAAATAAACCATAATATGGCAAGTGTCCAGGACTAATCCAAGCATATAAAATTATTACTGCTCCTTCCTATAATGTGTTCTTTGGTCCTGGGTAAGAGAAAATGGAGTTTTTGAGAGGCTAACTGCACTAGATCACTAGTGCAGTGATATATGAATATCTCAGAAGTTGACTTACTTCATGAAGTCCACCATTTATTATTGAAGTAAATACAATAATATTGACAGGAATCATAAAAAAATGAGTGTTCTACAATTGGCTTGTGGAATATTGGAAATATTCCAAATATTTTGGGATCTGTGCAGGAGTAAAGGGCAAGATATTTTGCAAATGTCAAAAACTTAGCAACTTTATTTTTTGTAGAATAATTAAAGATAATTACACGATTACCTCCAGTGAGAACATTGCACTAGCATTGTTTTATTAGTACTAAGTCCCAAAACCACCCCTAGTTGTGCCATTTAGGCCGGTGTTCTTGCCAAATGTCATTTTCAGTAAATATTTTTTTTTTCGCTTGTAACTCGAATTTTGTCTCGCAACTCAAAGCAAAAAAATGACTGAGCGACAGCTTGTAACTCAGAAAACTTGTAAGTTGGGGCACTCGAAAGTCAAAGTACCACTGTAACTGTATAAATAACGTCAACCCATTCATGGCTGCACATAAGACCGGCCAGTTGGACACGTATTGGACGGTGACATTTGTTTACCCTTGAACATCAGCAAAAGTCGAGCATTTCCGCTACTATGAGCTCAATTTCAAGGTACGTATGTACTTTCCGTCGAGAAACCAATCAAAATCATATCTATTTCTGCATTTCTTCCATTTTATCAAATGAGACCAAAAAAAGCGAGAATACAACCATAAAAAACCACATGAAAATACACTGCAAAGTCACTGTTTTACATCAAAAACATGGTTGCTGTTTTTTCTCATCATGCACTGCGTGCCGCAGGATTTTTTTTGTATAGTGCACACTTACCATGCAGACCTATTCTCTCACATGTAGGCCCAAATCTACCAGTCACAGTTTATCTGAGTGAGCTGAGCTCATAGCAACTGACAATGGCTTCAAAGCCACCTTATCTTTTATGGACAATGTATGGTGTATGTGCTTTACACAACGAGAAGCATTTCTTTTTATTCATTGGAACCATGGCTAGGGCTAAAGTGAGCAGGTTATAACAATAAATGGAGAAAAAGATATTGGAATGACTTATGCACTAAATAGTGCCACCAAACAGGAGCGGCAGGTTGGTGTGTTGACCCCTGAAATTTGAAATTATGCTAGGCGAAATTAGTGCCAGATTACTGATGGAACCGGATTAGTGATGGCTGACCTGTACTACATACAAATACGTACTGTACACTATCTCTTATCTACAGCTTCCATGAAAATCACAAAAAAGTATGAGTGGGCTCACAATTGGGATGACAAAAATACAAAATAATTATAGTGATTGTTAATCACAGTAACAATATTTGTAGGTATAAAAAATTATGTCACTGCTATGGAAATAGTATCATTTGGTAATCGTATCCATTTTGCATAAACAATAGTAGAGAGAGCTCTTGTTAGATACTTTCATTAGACCAATATGTTTACATTTGTGACTTACACCTACTGGGCCAAACATGTACGTGTACTCACTTGGGAAGAATACCATCCTTCTTCGCTAGGCGAGCTAGACAATCATCAGACTCACCCTATTTAATAAAATTTTGGAATGTGAGTACTCTATAGAAATGTTTACAGTTTTAAGAATAGCTTATCAGATTAGTAAAACTGGATATAAAAGTTAGCTTAATTTAAAGAAATAGCCACATTGCTTAAAATCTTATGTCAAGATTCAGAACCCTAAAAATATTCAGTATAAAGGAATCTATCACCATCACCCAGGCACTTAAGTATGGGTTGATAAGACCTACACAGTTGCTGTAACATTAGAATAAGCCTAAGCCCCTGTTTTTTTTTTTTTCAACAAGTCGGCCGTCTCCCACCGAGGCAGGGTGACCCAAAAAAGAAAGAAAATCCTCAAAAAGAAAATACTTTCATCATCATTCAACACTTTCACCTCACTCGCACATAATCACTGTTTTTGCAGAGATGCTCAGAACACAACAGTTTAGAAGCATATACGTATAAAGATACACAACATATCCCTCCAAACTGCTAATATCCCGAACCCCTCCTTTAGAGTGCAGGCATTGTAAGCCCCTGTATAGGATGTGAAATATTATCTATTACTCTGTTAATTCTGGGGACTGGTGTCTCCACAACCTTGTCTCCTAAATTTAGAAAGAAACTTTCAAAGACTAATAACAACAAACATCTTATGCTGCCCATGTCAAAAGCATTAACAAAGAAAGATGAAATAATGAAGGAAACTTCTATTGTGTATAAGCATTCACATGCATGTTGTGCATACTGAATTTTAGCAATGTATCGCTGCAAATGGGATTCATGCTGATACTGTGGAAAATGGCTAATTTGAACCTTATCCACAATGAATTATCCTTATCCTTCAATGAATTTCTGACCAATTCACCTTATCTCAATGTTCAGTAAGCAAACTTATAATCAATAATAGTGGATACATTTAAAAAACCACCTTTGATGAAAAATGGTACATATTTAGTAATACCAACAAGTTGATGAGTAAGATGCATGTGTAACAGTTGGGTATCTTATTGTCTGAAACATTTCACCTACACAGTAGGTTTCTTCATTCAAATACTGGAGGCAGTAATGGCAAGGTAAAAATAATGATGTCAGTAAATCAACCTCAGAAATACTTTTTGAGGTGGTCAGTCCCTAAGCATGGAGAATAATTCAATTCCGTAATCTGGAACAATGTGAAGTTGAAGCATGAGAATGGAAGGTCTTGAAGATGTTGTAGGAGGAGAGGTCCACTAGTAAAAGCAAAGCGGCAAGAATTGAGGAGCATTACAGTAAGCCTACCGGCCCATGCTAAGCAAATTCCTCTTGAATCAACCATTCTCACTCATAACTAGTGGCTAAACAGTGAAGTTGCAGATGTCCCCTGTACCAAGATAACATTATGTTGCTGTGTCAGACATGAATGATGAAAAGTGGTATATAATACAGCCAAGTTGATGAGTAAGAAATGGGCAACAGTTGGTATTATATACCATTTTTCATCATACACATCTGGCACAGAAACACAACGGTATCTTGGTACAGAGGACAACATCTACAACTTCAATGTTTAACTACTAGTTATGAGTGAAGAGGGTTGATTCAAGAGGGACCTGCTTACTATAGACCAATAAGCTTGTTGTAATACTCCTCAATTCTTGCCTTTTGGCTTCTACAAGTGTACCCCTCCTCTTGCAACGTCTTTGAAACCTTCCATGATTCGTCCTCGATAGTATAAGACCTGATCCTCATGTCTCAGCTTCACACTGTTCCAGACTATGGAGCTGAACTCTTATCCAGGCTGAGGGACTGACCACCTCAAGAACTATTTCTAACCAAGGCTGATGGACTGATTACATCTTTACCTTGCCATTACTCCTGCTGCCTCCAGTTTATTCTATGTATCTGAATGAAAAAGCCTACCATGTAGGTGAAATGTTTCAGTCAACAATAAAGATAGCCATGGGGAAGTGGAATAAGAATCTTTCCTCCGTAAGCCTTGCGTGTTGTAAAAGTCAACTAAAATGCCGGGAACAATGGGCTAGTAACCCCTTTTCCTGTAAAGATTACTAAAAAGAATAAGAAGAAGAAAATTGTCAAAGTGGGAAGTCTGAATGTGCGTGGATGTTGTGCAAATGATAAGAAAGAGATGATTGTGGATGTTATGAATAAGAAGAAACTGGATGTCCTGGCTTTAAGTGAAACAAAGCTGAAGGGGGTGGGAGAGTTTCAATGGAGAGGAATAAATGGGATTAGGTCAGGGGTTTCAAATAGAGTTAGAGCTAAAGAAGGAGTAGCAATAATGTTGAAGGATAAGCTATGGCAGGAAAAGATGGACTACAAATGTATAAATTCAAGGATTATGTAGAGTAAAATAAAGATTGGATGTGAAAAGTGGGTTATAGTAAGCATGTATGCACCTGGAGAAGAGAAAAGTGTAGAGGAGAGAGAGAGATTCTGGGAAATGTTGAGTGAATGCGTGGGGAGTTTTGAATCAAGTGTGAGAGTAATGGTGGTTGGGGATTTCAATGCTAAAGTGGGTAAAAATGTTATGGAGGGAGTAGTAGGTAAATTTGGGGTGCCAGGGGTAAATGTAAATGGGGAGCCTTTAATTGAGCTATGTGTAGAAAGAAATTTGGTAATAAGTAATACATATTTTATGAAAAAGAGGATAAATAAATATACAAGGTATGATGTAGCACGTAATGGAAGTAGTTTGTTAGATTATGTATTGGTGGATAAAAGGTAAGAGTAAGAGGTAGATGGGAAAAGAGGAAGGCGGCAACAACAAGTAAGAGGGAGGTGAAAGTGTACAAACTAAGGGAGGAGGAAGTTCGGGAGAGATACAAGCGACTATTGGCAGAAAGGTAGGCTAGTGCAAAGATGAGTAGTGGGGGGGTTGAAGAGGGTTGGAATAGTTTTAAAAATGCAGTATTAGAATGTGGGGCAGAAGTTTGTGGTTATAGGAGGGTGGGGGCAGGAGGAAAGAGGAGTGATTGGTGGAATGATGAAGTAAAGGGTGTGATAAAAGAGAAAAAGGTAGCTTATGAGAGTTTTTACAAAGCAGAAGTGTTACAAGAAGAGCAGAGTATATGGACAGTAAAAGAAAGGTGAAGAGAGTGGTGAGAGAGTGCAAAAGGAGAGCAGATGATAGAGTGGGAGAGGCACTGTCAAGAAATTTTAATGAAAATAAGAAAAAATTTTGGAGTGAGTTAAACAAGTTAAGAAAGCCTAGGGAAAGTATGGATTTGTCAATTAAAAACAGAGTAGGGAAGTTAGTAGATGGGGAGAGGGAGGTATTAGGTAGATGGCGAGAATATTTTGAGGAACTTTTAAATGTTGAGGAAGAAAGGGAGGCGGTAATTTCATGCACTGGCCAGAGAGGTATACCATCTTTTAGGAGTGAAGAAGAGCAGAATGTAAGTGTGGGGGAGGTACGTGAGGCATTACGTAGAATGAAAGGGGGTAAAGCAGCTGGAACTGTTGGGATCATGACAGAAATGTTAAAAGCAGGGGGGGATATAGTGTTGGAGTGGCTGGTACTTTTATTTAATAAATGTATGAAAGAGGGGAAGGTACCTAGGGATTGGCGGAGAGCATGTATAGTCCCTTTATATAAAGGGAAAGGGGACAAAAGAGAATGTAAAAATTATAGAGGAATAAGTTTACTGAGTATACCAGGAAAATTATACGGTAGGGTTATAATTGAAAAAATTAGAGGTAAGACAGAATGTAGGATTGCGGATGAGCAGGGAGGCTTCAGAGTGGGTAGGGGATGTGTAGATCAAGTGTTTACATTGAAGCATATATGTGAACAGTATTTAGATAAAGGTAGGGAAGTTTTTATTGCATTTATGGATTTAGAAAAGGCATATGATAGAGTGGATAGAGGAGCAATGTGGCAGATGTTGCAAGTATATGGAATAGGTGGTAAGTTACTAAATGCTGTAAAGAGCTTTTATGAGGATAGTGAGGCTCAGGTTAGGGTGTGTAGAAGAGAGGGAGAATACTTCCCGGTAAAAGTAGGTCTTAGACAGGGATGTGTAATGTCACCATGGTTGTTTAACATATTTATAGATGGAGTTGTAAAAGAAGTAAATGCTAGGGTGTTCGGGAGAGGGGTGGGATTAAATTATGAGGAATCAAATTCAAAATGGGAATTGACACAGTTACTTTTTGCTGATGATACTGTGCTTATGGGAGATTCTAAAGAAAAATTACAAAGGCTAGTGGATGAGTTTGAGAATGTGTGTAAAGGTAGAAAGTTGAAAGTGAACATAGAAAAGAGTAAGGTGATGAGGGTATCAAATGATTTAGATAAAGAAAAATTGGATATCAAATTGGGGAGGAGGAGTATGGAAGAAGTGAATGTTTTCAGATACTTGGGAATTGATGTGTCGGCGGATGGATTTATGAAGGATGAGGTTAATCATAGAATTGATGAGGGAAAAAAGGTGAGTGGTGCGTTGAGGTATATGTGGAGTCAAAAAACGTTATCTATGGAGGCAAAGAAGGGAATGTATGAAAGTATAGTAGTACCAACACTCTTATATGGATGTGAAGCTTGGGTGGTAAATGCAGCAGCGAGGAGACGGTTGGAGGCAGTGGAGATGTCCTGTCTAAGGGCAATGTGTGGTGTAAATATTATGCAGAAAATTCGGAGTGTGGAAATTAGGAGAAGGTGTGAAGTTAATAAAAGCATTAGTCAGAGGGCAGAAGAGGGGTTGTTGAGGTGGTTTGGTCATTTAGAGAGAATGGATCGAAGTAGAATGACATGGAAAGCATATAAATCTATAGGGGAAGGAAGGAGGGGTAGGGGTCATCCTCGAAAGGGTTGGAAAGAGGGGGTAAAGGAGGTTTTGTGGGCGAGGGGCTTGGATTTCCAGCAAGCGTGCATGAGCGTGTTAGATAGGAGTGAATGGAGACGAATGATACTTGGGACCTGACGATCTGTTGGAGTGTGAGCAGGGTAATATTTAGTGAAGAGATTCAGGGAAACCGGTTATTTTCATATAGTCGGACTTGAGTCCTGGAAATGGGAAGTACAATGCCTGCACTTTAAAGTGTTGAATGATGATGAATGTATTTTCTTTCTTTTTTGGGTCACCCTGCCTCGGTGGGAGACGGCCGACTTGTGGGGGGGGGGGGGGGGGGACTGATGTATGTGTCTTATGGGTCTTTCTTTGCTAATAAACTGGCTTACTTGTGGTAATGGACCATGATATTGAGTACAATGTTGTTTCCTTGGATTTCAGTAATATTTCTGATAAAAACATGCTTCGTATTAGTTAGCCCATTTTTACTGCAACAAACCAATTTTACTTAAGTCCATTTTCAGGAGTGTAACCTGTGTGTTATGAGAAGCTGTACATAAATGGCATATAATACTGAGAAGATGAAGAATCAGACATGTGAAACATCTGGGTATCTCTGTTTGTAGACATTTCACCAGTAGCTTTGTCAACTGATAAAGCCACTGGATGGCAAAACATCTACAAATAAAGATACCCAGATATGACATGTGTCTAATTCTTTGTTGAAAAGGCTTACTGTACTAGTTTTAAATCTAATATATGTATGTTAAAGTAACATTTTATAATATCCTTTTGTCTGATAAACAGGTATCTCTCCTTAGGGCTTTATGCGATAGATGGCTTCCTGGCCAATGGCGCACAAGGCAAAGTCGCATATAGCCAACCCATTTTTACATGTACAGTGGTCAAATATGAAGTGGTGCTATACCCGAGTGATTGCATAAGAGTGAAAATGCACAGCTACCACCATCTCCAATTGCATAGAATGAATTTTTACCCCAAATAGTAAATTCCTGGTAGAGATAGGGTCACTGCATACAAGCAAAATTACACATAGCAAAAATGCACAAAGCAAGAATAAAACTTGTATACTGCAACTAACTGTACTACAACTAACCTAAAATAATAATAGAAAAAATATGAATAATACTGTCTGTAAAAGGGGGTCATGAAGATCAGAATGCACCTACTCATTACATAAAAGTTCTTTATTGACAAATTTACCCATAGCAAGCTTCTTGTAGAATGCATTCTTTGCAAATGTGGAGGGAGTACAGTACTTTAGAAAACAAACAAAACTTATATTAAATTACTGTGCAATACTGCACAGTAATTTAATGTGTAACAAAATAAAATTCCACAAACCATTTTTCTGATCTCTCCACAAATTGCATAGGTTTTGTACTGGCCAGTCATACGGCCAGTGCTCTCATCAACCTGAAAACAAAGAAAACTAAATTAAAAAAGTCAAGACATTCGATGTATTAAATACATAAAACTGTTTAGTTTTTAAAGCCTTAGAATATGACAGATTAATCTTTTCTGAACTGAAAGATGTCACCCAAGAATAGATGAAAATTTTGCCATTTTATAGCTTTTCCAAACACGTATTTCAGAACACCAGTACATAGGCAGATCTGATGATTCATGGAATGCCTGTGTTCAACACCAAAATTCACACAACCATCTAAACAACTACAAAAATGCAAGATTTATTGCCAGAGAAGACAACACTCGATACCGAAGAATTCTGGAATCATCACTTACAGATAACCCTCGGTTATCGACCATTCTGGATATCAGCCAATTTGGTTTCTGCCCACTTTTTTTGGGCTGAAATTCTATCCCGGTTATTGGCTGTATTGGACGCGTCCACCCGCCACTCTGCTGCGTTCATGAGTTAGTCTGGCTGTGTCTCTGGGTGAGTGAGGAAGCCTCTGCGCATTCATCCAAACATTTCGCTATAATCCATTGTTTTTTGTGGTTACTGATCGAGTGCAACTGTGAAATAAGCAACCATAGGCCCAAAGAAAGTTCCTAGTAAAGTTCCTTTGGTAAAGAAAGTGAGAAACACGATAGAATTCAAGGAACGCAGGTATAGAGGCAAGGAGTGTAGCAGGCATGCAGTGTGTGTAGCAGAAAGGCAGGGAGTGTATTATTATAATCAAAAAGAAGTGCTAAACCACAAGGGCTAGGCAGGGAGTGTAGCAGGCATGCAGGGAGTGTAGCAGGAAGGCAGGGAGTGCAGCAGGAAGGCAGGGAGTGGACAGTTTTTTTTTTGCGAGACAGGGGTGCAGTGACTCTCAAGCTGGTCCTAGTGGCAGTAAAAGACAAAGTAGGGAAGTAACCCCTCCTTGCCTTCTTCCATATGCCAACAAGAGTCTTCAATAAAGGTATGCAATGTTCATTTATTAGTAAAATTAGTGCTTTATATTTCTTTCTCATTGTTCTGTGTATGTAAAACTATAGTTATCTTTAAAAAATGTTTGGAACAGATTAATTGTATTTACATTAATTCTTATGGGAAATATTTCGATTTTCAGCCATTTCGGTTTTAGGCCGACCTTCTGGAACAGATTACGACCAATAACCGAGGGTTCACTGTATCTGTATATCCAACAACTTCAACCAAAACAACAGCTTCTATAACATAGCTGAATCCCTTGCCAAGAAACTTCTTCATCGCTATCCCACATAAGAACATAAGAATGGAGGAACACTGCAGAAGGTCTACTCATATACTTGTCCAATCTCTTTTTAAAGCTACCCAAGGTCCTAGCCTCTATCACCCTACTCGGAAGATTGTCACATGCAGCATTCTCCATCCTATAAATACTCATGTACCTTTCACCCAGGTAGATCTGTTTGTGACTTGATAAAGCCCAATGTGTTGGGCAAAATTTTGTCAATAAAGGATCACATTATACTGCTTATGTGTTTATTTTTCCATGGGAGGGTAATGAAAAACTTGGAACCTTCATTCATATTATCTCCATCTACGTAGCCTCTTGCTTTTGTAGAAAGTAATTTCAGTCTGTAGATTTTAAACCAATTCCGAGTGTTTTCCAGTTATAGAATGATACACGTATATGGTAACTTACTTTCTTACTTTCCAGCTACCTGCCTGGTACCTCATTAGCCGGTAAAGCATTTCAATCATGTCCACGAGACACCTTCCTTCCTTACCTAAATATTTCCCAAAACTTTAATTACTTACATATTGTTTAAATCTTTCACTATCCCTTACGCAGAACTACGTTACAGATGCCAGGGTCACTTACGCAGATCTATATTTTGAGCACAGTTAACTCAGATAAGTTGCAAGTAGTAAATTTTGGCCTTGATATGTATGCAGTGAGTGCAAACAGCATAAAAGAAAATCATGCCCCACATGGTGCATGATGAGAAAAGCAAAACTCTAACCTTGTGTTTGATTAAAAATAGCAATTTTGAGGTGTTATCTAAGATGGTTTTCTTTTATGGTTTTATTGGCTATTTCTTAATATGTATTATTTTATAGAATGGTAGACAAATGTACTACTGAAATAGATATACAGTGGACCCTAGGTTTTCGTCGATCTTAGTTATTGCCGATTTTGGTTTTGGTCGACTTTTTTCGCAGATTTTTGGCTTTAGTTTTTGTCTATCATACGGAACCTGTCCAGAGCCCAGAACACCGACAAAGCCGCCTCCCACATGCATTGTCAGCCAGTGTAGCTTTGTTTCTCGGTGAGTGAACATATCCTGCCATGTCATATGAAACATTTCATAATAATCCATTGTTTTTGCCACTTGTTTATTGTGTGTGACTACTAAATAAGCCACCATGTGCCCAAAGAAAGCTTCTAGTGCCAGCCCTTTGGTAAAGAATGTGAGAAACACGATATAACTCAAGAAAAAGTTTGTAGGAAAAAATACGAAAGTGGTGGTGGTAGAGGGTAACAGTAGCTGTGATGGTGGTAGTGGTTGTGATGGTGGTAGAGGGTGCCTTCTTCAGTGATTCAACAATTTTACTAACTCCTCCAATGTTGTTGGAGTTATATAGGGCTACAGAAAACACTGCCACCTCAGCTGCAGCCTTCACCACCATTATGGACAGCTTATGCTCTCAGTGGCCCTTATACACCCAACACCACCAGTTGTGACATACAAAATGACTTTTATTCATTCTATATTCTATGTTATTAATATTGTTTATTATGTCATATTAGTTGAATTGTGATAGATAAATAAGCCGTAGATTTGATATTAGTGTCGTATTCTCCAATAAACTCTTCTCCCTCTCCCCTCTGCCTGGTCTGCCATGCACCAACAAGTCTTTTCAATAAAAGTAAGTGTGATGTTAAATGTTCATTTATACATTTTATTAGTGCTTTATATTTATCTGTCATTCTTTTCTGCATGTAAATCTATATTTAAGCTAGGGAAGTGACCCCTTATAAAGACTTGGTACCTAGAGCCCTTATGGAGGGGGATTCCCCTACCAAACAATAACCTCTCTTCCGTCTCCCTTTCTTCCATCCATCAACAGCCTTCAGTCATGTCTAATGTTCATTCTTCTGTGCATGTAAATCTACCTTTAAGGTAGAAAATTTTTTTTTGTTGATACTTTTGGGTGTCTGGAATGGATTAATTCCATTTACATTATTTCTTATGGAGAAAATGGTTTCGGTTTTGGCCGATAGCTCTGGAACAGATTAAACACGAAAACTGAGGGTCCAATGTACAGTGGAACCTCGGTACTCGAACTTAATTCGCTCCAGAAGGCTGTTCGAGTGCTGATCCATTCAAGTATCTAACGAATTCTTCCAAACCAATTTTCTTTTTGGATGGTTGTTATCACTAATCTCTGTAGGCCCCATGGTGACTTATTTATACAAATAACAAACATCAAAAAATGCAAAGAAACACAAAATATGCAGTTTGCAGTAAAGTTCTGGCAGGTCATGTTTGTGAGGTCGAGTGCCGAGCTTTGTTCGGGTAGGGAGCTGTTTGAGTACTGAGGTTCCACTGTAATTTTGTTTCGTTCCAGGACTGGAAGTAGCTTGAAATCAGCTTCATAGTGGAAATATTCAATTTTTTTTTTTCCAGTTTTCCGGAAGGTGGATAAGGCCCCTTTCCCCCTGGTTTGACCAATAATTATAATTCCTGGTTATATTTTATCTGATAAAAATGGTAAATTCTTGAATTCTTGTATGAATTCAAAGTACTGTACAAGCCAAGCATACTACAGGAGAGGTCTGGAGAGGGATGTAATTAGTGAACAGAAAAAATGTTTTAGTGCCTGGAATATCTAGTGTTTATTTTGGACTGTTTTTAAACTGGAATCTTTTTAATTTTGTGTAAAATTGGGCAAATTATGAAATTCTGTGAAGTTAATAGGGTCTTTCTGGATGTCATTCCAGGGGTCAAATGCTCCTGTGACCCAGTACCCGACCAGGCATCCCAGTGATAAGTGCCTGGTTGCACGCAGTGCAACATACGAGCCACAGCCCAGCTAACTGGGCACTGATTTTAGGTATCCGTCTAGTTCCCTCTTGAAGACAGCCATGGGTTTATTGATAATTTCCCTTATGCATGACAGGAAGCTGAAGAACAGTCTTGACCCCCAGACACTTACTGTTTTTTCTCTTAGCATTGTCTTCCGTGTTTTGTTTTTATGGGGAGTGATTTGTGTGTGCAGATTTGGAGGTAGTTTTGACAGTTGAATGAGCATTTTCTTGTGCTTAATTGAAAGGACATAAGACTTACTAGATAAACAGCTAAAAACGTGGTCAAACTGAGCAATGGAACTGGCTTAAAATAGGACTCAAATGGGGCAAAATTGCCGATGAGTAAACTGCACCCTAACCATAAACTTTGCTCCTGCACAATTCCCTAAGTTCTCCATCAAATTTCATGCCATTCACATCGAGATGTTTACTCTGGCTGTAATTCTATAGCTGTTGTACATGCTGGTGGCTGATAGAGAAAAAGCATGAGTAAAGATCTTGGCAGCAGTGTCACTGCTGAGGCACCAGTTAGCTGACTGCCATTACACATTCTTGTAAAGAACAGTCGAAGTGCTTGTACTCTAAAAAAGGCAAGGACCTCGAAGTTCACAGGGTCATCTGGACTGTGAAGTGAGCACATTTCTGGCAAGACGGTGATAGGGTAGGGTAGGAAAGCCTAGGATGACATAGGATAGGGTAGGGTAAGATAGCCTAGGATTGTGGGATAGGCTAGGATAGGGTAGGATAGCCTAGGATAGTAAATGGATTTCCTCCTTTTTTCCCCAGCTTACTTCAGTAGGAGACAGCTGGTGTTAAAAAAAAAAAAAACGAACCACCCAGCAACTTACAGTTTAAGAAAAGATTTCATTTGGACTTTTAACCCCAGAGGGTTAGCCACCCAGGATAACCCAAGAAAGGCAGTGCATCATTGAGGACTGTTTGTAT